TAACTAAATGAATTTACGTTCCAGGGAGACAGTGGCGGACCAATTGTCCAAGATGGTGTACTGATAGGCGTGGTATCGTGGGGACTGGGCTGCGCGCGAGGGAACTTCCCCGGCGTCTACGCTAGACTCTCCAACCCCGCTATATGGGATTGGCTGCAGAGTCATTTTACAAATAAATCTGTAAATGCACATTATACATTATTATCACATTGCCAACATTCTCGAGGATGCCATTATTCAGATGTGTCGCACAAAATCTAGACATTTTTAATGTTACACAATATCCCGGTTTGTTTTCATTTTAATTTCACTTGTGACCCAGAGTGTTTTTGTGGCACTTGTGGCAACACACCTAGCGACTGAATTAGATCAGTAAGTCTAGTCTTATCTTCGAAGTTTACACTCTCTTTCCCTTTTATATGAAACTAGCTGTTGCTCGCGACTTGGCAAGCGTAAAATTAAATTAATACTCACAGATAAATTACCTTTCCAACGGTATAAAATCGGTCCAGTAGTTTTTGAGTTATTTCAATACATACAAAAATACAAATCTTTCCTCTTTATAATATTAGTATAGATAGTTCACTTATATAACTTTGTAAATAAACCAAACAATGAAATGGTAATTTATTGCAAGGATTATGACTTGCGATTTTGATATATGATGACGTATGGCAATTAAAGTCACAAGACTTGACATGACATGCAAAACAACTAATAATCTAAAAATCTAAAATAATTGATAGTCTATATAACAAAAATTGGCAACTGAAAAGACGAGGCAATACAATTTCAACATTTATAAACGAATCTCTTATGCTGCAGATTCTGCCCATTCCAGTCCCATCTCCAATAAATATTTCGAGTCTATAAAGTCAAGTAAACATACATAAACTGTAAGAAAAATTTAGACACTGTTGTCAAAGCTTTAATTATTTTTTTCTTTCTCTTTGTTTTAAAAATTTATTTTTTCTCTTTGTTGTTAAAAGGTAACTGAAAGGGAAGGCATTGGCTCCTTAAACACAGGATTGCCTAGTAAAGGAGCCAAAGCAATATTGATCCTTTAATCAATGATAAAAAAAAAACAAAAAAAAACTCTTTGGCCTTCGCTGATTGATATTATGTATCCCCCATTACATTTCAGTACTAATTACTTTATTATTTATTCATCTAGATTGGTACAGATTTAAAAATTAAATCAAGTCTATTCAATAACCAAGATAAAGAAAAGTAACTTATGTTCAAGTTAATTTGAAGAATTCTCCGAGTTTTGTTTGGTCTTATTATTTACTAGCTTTTGTCGGCGACTCCGTCCGCGTAGAATTAAAAAAAAACAAAACTAAGTAGCCTATGTGTTTTTACAGACCATACTCTACATTTATGCCAAATTTCATCGAGATCCGTTCAGTCGTTTAGGCTACAAAATCTAACAAACATCCATCCATCCATCTAAACTTCCGCATTTATAATATTAGTACGATTAACGAGACAAAATTGACACATCATGCAAATGACAAAGTTCAAAACAATGCGGTCAGCATTTTTTGTGCAGTGTTGTCCCTATGATAGCGGTTTTTTTTATATCGATATCTTAATCTTTACAAGATTACCTTAGATTAAGGTTAAAGGTAATAATGATACGGCCGTTTTTGTGTAATTTACTAACAACGTATAAAATTTGATACATATTATACCTACCACATATGAAAATTGAAATATTTTTTTTTCAAAAGTATAACAATCTATGCTGTCCTATCACTATAAACTATCTCTTACTTCTCAATCGCTTTCAGAAAATACTAACACTCTCACACTAGATCAAGCCCGTGTCCTGAAGATTCATACTAAACAAGTGGAATAACGACTCTTTGTAATTATTGCCATCAATTTTATTTAATCTCTTTGTTATTGTCTATTACTTATTATAATACTAAGAAATTAGGTAAACATTTTCTGATAATAACTAGTTACATATTGAAAACATAATATTTCAAGTGTTCAATTACTTATACATACTTTATTTGTATTATTACAACGAGAACGTTTTCAGTTTTTCACGATAATTTATTAATAAAATACTCCCTCAGATTATGCTCAACACCTAAAAAAAACTTCATCGAGGTCTGTTTAGATGTTTTCGTGATACGTAGTAACACATCCAAACAATAAAAGTAAAGTCACAACTCAAAAAATTCAAATCATTTATTTTTAAATTTACATAATCACAGACACCTTTAAAAATCAATAACCTAAAATTTTAACAATAATAATTTCATAAAATATATCGTAAAAACTAGTCAAACAGTTTCAAAGCAAACATTGTTTAAAATGCTTTTTAGCTCGCCCGAATACAAAAATAACATGAAGTTTGCATTGCTAAAAATTGCATTTTTTGAGGAAACGTTAAAACAACAAACCTTATCTTGTACTTACTTAATTCTTAACTTAAATAACAAAGGCAAGCCTCCTAAGAAACTTTGCACTAAATTGGAAGAGGGATCAACCTTTGGATGGCGCACAGTTTCCGGCGCGGGTTCAACCGAGTAGCGCGACAGCACCGCTGCCAGACCCGCCAGAGACTGCATCAGACCGAGTCTCTCGCCTGGAATTGGATGTCATATTTGTGAGTCTGATAAAAAACCTAGGTACATAAGATGTTTACAAAATGTCTACCTAGATTTGTTGGTAGTTAGTTTCTATTATAAAGCCTTAGCTAATATTACACGGGACCATAGTCACCTGAATGCAAGATTTTATTTATACTTACTTTGATTTCAATAGGAATAGAAAATAGAATGCTCTATTAAAAAGAAGGTGCGTGGAATACCTAAAAACTCTAAGTAGTTATATTGATTTCAAACACCCGATCTCTATAAGGTTAAGACCTTAAAAAAAATGATTATAAAAAACTCACCAATACACGCACGAGGACCTTCTCCAAACGGTAAATAAATGTGTTTTGTCATTGGATTGATGAAATCGGTTAAGAAGCGCTTTGGCTTGAATTTTTCTGGCTCCTCAAAGTACAGCGGATCCATATGCAACGCATGTACTGGTATTGAAATTGATACTCCATCGTCAATTGTAAGATCCATTTCCGGAAATGTGTATTTACGAACACAATTTCTTGTTAACTGTCCCAACGACGGGAACATTCGAATACCTTCTTTGAAAGCGCAATGTAGATAAGTCATTTCCTTTATGGCATCATAAGAGAGCTTGTTATCGTACTTTGTTAAAACTTTATCAATTTCTTCTTGCACCTTACGTTGCTCCTCAGGGTTATGGGCGAGTTCATGCAGCGTAAAGCTCGTAGAAGATGATGATGTTTCGAAACCCGCAGCGAAAAATATAAATATTTGAGCTGTCATAAGTTCTTCAGTCAATTCCATAGATACTTCTTCAGGTGTACCATCTGTTTTTATCTTTTCTATGGATGATCCTACTAGCTTTCCTTTTTTCTTACAATCGAGAAGCAAATCGACAAAGTCATTCCTACCACAAGGTTCATAATTTCTTCTCTTCAGTATACTGCCTACGAGTGAGTTCATATCGCTTTCTATTTTCTTAAATACTCTAATGTTTTTGCACATATTAGGAAACATATCCCTGAGCATAAATTTAACGATTTGATTCAAGTCAAATTTAAAAATGTCTGTTCCAAGTTTTCTAAAAACGGAATCTTCTACACTAAGAGAATCCATCTCCAGACCAAACCCGCAAGCACCGATGAAATCAGTAGTATACCGTGCCATCATTTCCCGAGAGTCTAAAACGCGTCCAGTTGTTGGTGCATTGATAACGTGGCTCTGCAGGCGCTCGGCGCGTTCCACAATAAGAGGGAACATCGCCTTCAATTTACCGCTGGTGAACGCGGGCGTCATACGTTGCCTCAATAACTTCCAAATGTCGCCATCAGCAAGAAAAAGATTTTTTGCTAAAGGCTCCACAACTGTTCTGTGTGTGATGATTCCTCTCATGTGGAAATTACCGAAATCAGTAACGAGAACTCGCTTTACTATTTCTGGATCTCTTATCAAAAGTTCCGGACGCATTGCTCGATAAAAACCAACGACTTTCTCATTTGGGTATTTCCTATTGTAACGGAGCAGGGGTATCTTGAGCCGAAACAGCCAAAGAAAACACAGCAACAAGGTGGCAAAAAGTCGTTTATTGGTTATATACCAATGAGGTTGGTCTGCGCGCGTACCCCGGGTTGGGAACCACACGCAGTTACAAAAAGTGTTCAAATATCGGGTAACCGTCACAGAACAGCAAGCGGTTACCTGCTAAATTAGGCCGTCACTATCCGCAAGCAACCTAATTTAACTACACTACTGTGCAAGTTCTGAATAAAATTAGTCACAAGACAGCAAGCTAATATACTCAGAATCGCGTCGTAGGAACTAACTTGAGAAGACAGTAATTTTAACAATATTTGTTATTTTCTAATCTTCTGATCTTCTGATCTTCTGATTTGCGTATGTACATGAAATGACATAAGATAAGGCGCATGCAATACCACATCGTGTTTTAAAATACAGGTGGCGCCATCTAGTTTTGTACGTAAAAACTACTGGTCTCTAGTGAATATTTGTTACACTATACAATTCTGTAGCAATCTGTGCAATACTTTTCTTCCATAAATACATCGGCAAATTGTTTCCGAAAAATGGTATTGGTTTGTCATGCTTGATTCCTTTTGTTTCCCAATACTTGAATGTTCTTATGCTGTAAAGGTACACAGCAACACAAAGTACGAATACCACAGCTATTGTAAACATGGCGGAAGATATACAAAAGGTGGTCAAATCGACTGTTAATTTATATGTCTACAATATTTCGATAAAAAAAGATAATAACAACATGGGCGTCGTCAGAAGAACAGAGGGGGAGGGCAGCTGTCCCCCCTAGATAATCGAAAAGTGTAAAATAGTTTTTAAATTACTTCCAATAAGACCATGTTTATAGTACCTGCCTCCCCCACCCCAGAACGAGACATCATCGGCGGGTGACGCTCGTGAAGAACAAATCAATTAACCAAGATAACTTTATCTTTATAATTCTTACACAGGATGACTGGTAAGCCAATGATGATATTCCAGAATTTGACAATCTTGTAACATGAAAAACGTTCTCAATGAAAAAATAAATTAATTTACTTTTGCATGAACTTACCCGAGATTTTAATAGTTAATTACACGTATACCCGTACTACGTGGGAATTAGAATCCGGGGCTGCAGTAAGATAGTCATAACTATATTTATTTTTTGTTAATGTACATGCATTGACCTCGTTCGTCATTACATATTTCGATAACGTTGACGAGGGTCGCTCCGCGGAGATCCTAATACTAGACATCGGAATAACGCTTCCGCTTTCACGAGACCAGTCATTTTAGAAATAAATCTACTATTTCACATTATAGTTAAAATATTGTTACATTTCAAATTTTCTTTTGAATGCTTGTTATACAAAATCTAGGTGAATTACGTTAAACAATATCTCGATTTGTTTAACATTACTTGGGACTCTGAGTTCTTTTCTGGCACTTGTGGTAACAAACCTAGTGACTGATCTAAATGGATAAGTACAGTCTAGTCCTCAGAGTCCCTCTACACTTTCATTTAATTCACATAAAATTGGTCAATCGCTAGAAATAGAATAATAAAAAGTAAATTCATTGCAAGGATATGACTTGCTATTATTCTTAATCTATGATGTAAGACAATTACAGTCACATGACTTGACATGACATAACGTTAAGTGATAAAAAACAATCAGAAATGAACCACTGGTTGGATAATCCCTATTCACCTTTAAATATAACCCTTAGGGGTTATAGATGTCGAAGTATCCATATGAAAAATTTTACATTCTGTATTCATTGTCATCTACTGATGATCTATCAGAAATAAAAGTGTTAGTTAATGTTTTTATGCAAACCAAAAATCTTTAAATTAAACGTAAAAAAAAACTACTTCAACAGTGGTAGAGCCCGCTTTAACATCTTCGCACGAATGGGCCGTCTCCATACCACGACCACACAGAAGAAAGGTGTGAAGTGGGAGCAATTCCACCTTCCGTCTGATGAGTGTGATGCCGGAGGCCTTATTAAAGTACCTTTCTCTTCTCACCCTTTTCTTATAAGGAAAGGATGGGAAGGGAAAGTGGGTTAGACGGTGCAGGAGTTGCATAGGTAGAGGCAATATCCCCATCATTGCGTCTTCTCCTCCGTCGATTAAAGGTAGACAACGCATCTCCAACTGCGGATGTCTATGGGCAGCGGTCGCTTTGCTTTTCGGATCTGTTAAATCAATGGGTTTATATTCAAAGCAAATATATCCCAAGTCACCATATAATATATTATGACACCTATTGGCAAATAATGTAAATAAATTACAATTATTTACATTGATATCTGGTTTTTAGGATAGTATTAATGATAAAGTAAAGTAGACTACACAGGCTCAGTTTTATCTGAATAGTCGGATCGTTCAGATAAATCTATCACGTATCTACAAAAACATGAAACTAAGCGTGTATAACGGTCAGTAGAGATGATTATGTGTGTGTGTGTTTTAAGTAAAGTGCTGCCTATGCCTTATCTAAGTAGTTGAATCTCTTTGTAGGCCTGTAACTTAACGAATGCTTTAGGCAATTTCATACATTTTTGACTTTTCGATCAGCAATAGATAAGCGAATTGTAGGTACTTTGTCTTAAGGACCTGTTGAAATATTTACAAATGTCTACCATGTCTTTGTACCATCTAATCCTAGGAAAGGAAGTTAGGAAAATAGCCTTTTTAACTCTGCTACAAAATTATTCTAGGAAACAAATGAAGTAAAAGAAACACGACTCAAGAATTAATAATGATTAAATTAAGAATAGTGAATAAATAAAAATTGTAAAAGTTCTTGACAACTAATTCGATTAAAAAAAACAAAAAACGCTATTTATGTCTATTCATGTCGCGTCGTGTGAAACTACATAGTATGTTTGCATTCCATTTTTTTTTTAATTTACATAACAAATTCGTCGCTTCAAATATTTGCCTGAAGTAATTTGGAAGGCATTTTGCTAACACACAGAATTGGTTTTAAATGTCATTTTTATTTTATTGTATAGTTACTTAAATGTTTGTTTAAACGATTTGTTCATCAATACTAACAATGTAGACCGTAAAAATATGTGAACGGTACTTTGTAAAACATATAAGATTCGTTTTAGTACTTGACCGTATAAATGTACTGGCCCACGCCAGAAAAGTTTTCTGAGAGCTCGCAACCAGAAGTTAAAAATTACTGCAATAAAAACGCTTTTTAATTAAATTATTTACAAGCTTGTCTTATAATTACAGTTTATAGCATTAAAGTGAAATCAAACCAATAGAAAAAAGAGCACTTAAGGACGACTAGGTACTAAGTTCTCAGTTTGAATATCAGAGGTAAACCCCCGACAACACTTTGTGCTATATTAGAAGAGGGATCAATCTTTGGATGGCGCAACGTGTGAGGCGCGGGTTCAACCGAGTAGCGCGACAGCACCGCCGCCAGACCCGCCAGAGACTGCATTAGACCGAGTCTCTTACCTGCAATTGTAAATATTAAAGTTCAAATTTTGTTCCAGTGGTGGCCAAACTCACAAGCCGCATGTGACTCTTTGATAGATTTAAAATTATCGTCCTGAGCTGAGATAAATTCATTGATGCTAGTTATGCCTCCCTGGTTGTATAGTTTTTATGACTTCAAACTATGTTTAGTTCATTAAATCAACGCGAACATAGTCACGGGCGAAAGTAAGTTTATTTATAAATCCACTACAATTTTTAAGCAATGTAATGGATTTCCTAATAATGACCATTTTCTTTATAGATGTGATAGTTAAAAATATATTTGTACTAGAATTTTTCAAACATTTTTCTTACAAGTGGAAAAATAGTCATTATGAATTATTTTTTTTTTACCTGAATAACATTCGGGAAGTTAATTAAAAATACACGGTACATTGCGTTTAAATAACAGCCTCCCAATTAACTTTTAAAAAGATGTATTCATAGATAACTTACCAAGGCATGCACGAGGACCGTCACCAAATGGCAAATAAATATGTTTCGTCATAGGATGAATGAAATCGGTTAAGAAACGCGCTGGCTTGAATTGTTCTGGCTCCTCAAAGTATTGTGGATCCTTGTGCAGCGCCTGAACTGGTATATATATTGATACTCCATCGTCAATCGTAAGATTTAATTCAGGAAATGTGTATTTTCGGACACACTTTCTCACCAAATGACCCAACGACGGAAACATTCGTATACCTTCTTTGAAAGCGCAATGCAGATAAGTCATTTCGCTAACTGCATCATAACATAACTTGTTATTGTATTTCGCTAAAACTCTGTCAATTTCTTCTTGCACTTTCCGTTGCTCCTCAGGATTGTAAGCAAGTTCATGTAAAGTGTAACTCGTAGAGGAGGATGATGTTTCGAATCCCGCAGCAAAAAATACAAATATCTGAGCTGCAAAGAGTTCTTCAGTCAATTCCATAGACACTTCTTCTGGTGTTCCATCTGGTTTCATTTTCTCTATAGATAATCCTACTAATTTTCCTTTTTTCCTACAATCAAGGAGCAGGTCGACAAAGTCATTCCTACCACATGGTTCGTAATTTCTTTTCTTAAGAATGCTGCGAACAAGTGAGTACATCTCTTTTTCTACTTTGTTAAGTAGTCTCAAATGTTTGAATATTTCAGGGAATATTTCTTTAAACGTTTGTTTAATAAGTTCTTTCACTTCCACTTTAAACATTTTTATCCCAAGCTTTCTAAAAGCAGAATCTTTTTCACTTAGAGAATCCGAGTCGAGTCCGAAACCACAAGCACCGATGAAGTCAGTGGTGTATCGCGCCATTATTTCCCGAGAGTCCAGAACTCGTCCAGTTGTTGGAGCATTAATGGCTTGGCTCTGCAGGCGCTCAGCGCGCTCCACAATGAGAGGGAACATCGCCTTCAGTTTACCGCTGGTGAACGCAGGAGTCATGCGTTGTCTCAACAACTTCCAAACATCGCCGTCAGCGAGAAAAAGATTTTTTGCTAGAGGCTCAACTACTGTTCTATGTGTGTTGATACCTCTCATGTGAAAATTTTCAAAATCAGTAACAAGAACACGTTTTATTATTTCTGGATCCCTTATCAAAAGTTCCGGACGCATTGCTCGATAAAAACCTACGACTTTCTCTTTTGAGTATTTCCAGTACAATTGAACACCTATTTGTGTCATACTTTTCTTCATAAAGTACATCGGTGCATTATTGCCGAGAAATGGTATTGGCTTGTCATGTTTGACTCCTCTGCTTTCCCAATATTTGAATGTACTAATGCTGTAAAGATACACAGCAACACAAAACACGAATATCACAGCTAGTGTTAACATGACGGAAGTTATGACAAAAATACAGTCTGTAAATTTATATGTTTCCGAAATTTCGATAATAGAAAGATAAAAATAATTTAATTAATTATTATTCAAAACTAGCGATCTGCCGCGTTTTCGCCCGGTTACCAAAGAATATAACGTCTGTTCTCTTTTCTGTTATCGCAACAACGGTGCCCGGGTTGCACCTTTTTCGCGCCCGGTCCGTGAGCTCATTTTTTGGTTATACTGATCTTCCAAAACTATTTGTCACAGTTACATAAAAAATACAAAATTTAGGATATTTTAATAAATATTAAATTCACCTAGTACCAAATACATTCATATGGATGAGGGTATTTTTTTAAATTTATACAATAAAAACAAAAATACAAACCTTTAGTTTTTTTATTATTATATTTAATACAGATATAGATTAAAGCCTCGGAATATACTGAAAATTAGATACGGAACTGAGGGTTACCTACCAGCTACAATAATCATCGAGTTTCCTGATTAAACCTATATACATTTATTGACAATAGATTCCGAAAATATGAAAAATAAAACATGTATTTCGTTAACGTAATTTAGTGGTTTTGCTTATATCGAAAAAACAATTTTGATTTTTTTATTTGCTGCAAGTCTGTCCGTAAATTTTATTATAACTATCTTACTAATATTATAAATGCGAATTTTAAATTCATGGATGGATTTGTTAAAGTTTGCAGCCTAAACTTGATCTCGATGAAATTTCGCTTAGGTATAGAAGATAGTCTGGAAGAACATAGAGGATATTTGCTTTTAATAATTTTTTTTTTTTTATAACATAAGGTGGCAAACGACCAAGCGGCCACCTGAATCCGCCAAAATGGCGAAGCGATCGCTGCCCATAGACATCCGCAATTGCAGATGCGTTGCCTACCGTTATTCGACAGAGGAGGAGAAGCACATAAAGAGTTTCAAATCCACTTCCCCTTTCCATCCTTTCCTTATAAGAAAAGAGTGGTAAAGAGAAAGGGATTTAAATTAGGCCTCCGGCACCACACTTATCAGACGAAACTCGGAATTGCTTCCATTTCACGCCTGTCTTCTGTGTGGTCGTGGTATTACACCTGGCGTGCCGGCCCTGCAGTGCTAAGATGTTAAAGCGGGCACTACCACTGTTAATTACACGCGGATGGAGTCGCAGGCAAAAGCTGTACTCATATAAAGAAATCAAATGGAAGCCGTGATAAAAGAAGCGGAAATGAACTGTGACGTGCAGAATGACAAACAAAAACTAGAAAAGCAAAAACACTTATATTTATGCAATTTGTAATTAAATTGTGCAATCAATTCTATAAGTAAACTAGTATATGTTTAACGAATCTTTTAATTGTTGAAGTATTGTAATTGAATTTTAACTGGAATAGTAGTATATATTTATCCAACTGAAATTAAAAAATGTATAGTAGAACTAGCTGTTGCCCGCGACTTCGTCCGCGTGGTATTAGAAAACGTACGAACTATATAAATAACAAAAAGTTACGTATCCCTCGGGAACCGGACATTTCTCGGGGATGAACCTTATCCCATGTGTACTCCAGACTTATTTTTATATCTGTGCCAAATTTCATTAAGATATGTTGAACCGTTGCAGAATGATCAAGTAAACATTAAAAAACTAAATTAACTAATCCTACAGGAACCGTAACTATTTCCGGGATAAAAGTAGCCTATGTGTTCTTCCAGACTATGCTCTAAACCTGTGCTAAATTTCATGAAGATCCGTTAAGCCGTTTAGGCTACAAACGCTAACATCCATCCATCCATCGTAACTTTCGCATTTATGATATTTATATGATATAGTTATGTTTACAGTTGCATGAACTCGGAATTTTTGTCTGCTATTGCAATTTTCTAACAATCTCTTATGGATTTGGGACCGCTGTTAATTACGACGTAAAATTCTGGATTAGCAAAGATTACAAGCAGATGCTTAAAAATCGAAAAGTAACAATCACCACTTATAAAAAAATGTATTTCTATTTAGTTTAAATTTATTACAAAAGATTTCGTCAAACTGCATGCAGTTTTTTGAGGAAAAATGCGTCTTTAAATTTACATGAAATGTGTCTATAAACTAAATACTTACTAATACATCGTAAATTAATGTATGTATTACAAAATATCGAAACGCCGCTCCCAATAAAAAAAATAACACAATTGTTCGGCTGCATAAACATTTAGTAGTTGTAGTTTAAATTTTCTACTTGATTTAATTTTTTAAAATAACTAAATAGTAAATAGTTAGCTGTTGCTCGCGACTTCGTCCACGTGGAATTAGAAAAAGTAAAAAACATAGCCCCTGTTACTCACTGATAACGAGCTTTTTAATGGTAAAAGAATTTTTAAAATCATACAAAAATACAGATTTTTCCACTTTAAAATATTAGAAGAAATAAGAAATATACGTGAAATAACTTAGGCTCTTACGTAAAATACATAGACGTCACCGGGAATGGTACTACCATAATAAAAAAGAGATCAAACGTGTATCCTTTGCCACTCGAGCGAAGTCAGGTCCTGTCGCTTGTTATAATGATTGTTTTATTATGTGTTGATAGATAAGATCTTTCTGTATATCCGCCTGTGGACACTTATTTAACGACTGGCCCAGGCCGCGATAAGAATTTGGTCAGTATTGTTTTAGAATTGAATAACAAACATGAAAGTTTATCTTAAGAATTTATTTTATTAATAAGACTTGCTTTAATATCTTATCGCCGTATTTTCGTTTGTGATAAAACATGACTTGCAAAAAAAACCGGTGTAGATCTACAAAATGTTATGGCATTCTAATATAAACAAGGCGCCTACGAGCATATAGGGTTATCAGCAAGCTAGTGTGGTTTTAAGGAAAATTGTTAAGGAAATTCTTCACTTTTGAATACAAACAATTAAAATTGTACAGAAAATAGCTTATAATCTAACTAGCAAAATCCCTTGACTTCATTTCTCGGGAAAAAGAATGTGTATTCAAAAGAGATTTTGCAGCAAAATTTCAGGGAAAACAACAATCCACGCACAGTAGATTATGTGGTAAGCCCAGTGGTTGAAAAAGTGTTAAAAAATCAAAATCCTTTTTGACTGAATGACGTGCAAGCGTTGGTTGCAGTTGTTGTTTCAACATTTTGGATCAACGACGCTGAACAAAAATCAATACGAACAGAACAATAATCAGTGCGTCTGTTCAAAAAAAAATCGCTTAGGCACACGGCTATTTTTTTATTGTTTTCCCGTCGTTTACGCCACTCGCTGCTATCTAACTGGTTACTTGTAAGAAGTGACGGAGTTTCTCCCGTTGCGAGGAACATGGCAATTTTTCTCAAGTGAAACACCGCAGATTTCTGATATTGCACCTAGACCTATATATTTATAATTGTTGATTTGTCTTTCAATAAACGAATGTGAAAAAACAATGATTTTCATTTTATTCATTACTATGAATACATCGATTCCAACTTCTATGATAGAAGAAATCGAAATGGTTTTAGTTACTTTTGAATTTTAGTTTTACTCAGCCTAATAGCTGTATATGTCAATCTAATGAATTATTAAATAGACAAACAATACACCCATAACATAGAGTAAGTCCCCACTTACAGTGAGCTGGATAAAAGAGACAAACATTAATGAATACTACGCGTTTTCTTCTCATATAACTAACTAGCTGTTTCCGTGCGACTTCATCCGCATGAAATTATGAATGTTTTATTTTATTGTTTACATTTGTCAAATTATCCATTATAAATGTCAAAGTGACATGACATGATGACAACCTTGCTTCCTTAATGTTGGCAGCAACTTATGGTCTCTTTTCCACATTAGGATTTTTATCCAAAATATTTACCCCCTAAGTTTAATGGCGTTAGAATATAAAGCCTAAAACGTGAAGCAAGTGTATGGCTTTTTATTAAACAAAGAATTATTCAATAATATGCTTCAATTGCTGACATCTTAGGCAACAAAGTAGTGTGTGTTTACGTTTTATTATAATAGTATAGATATGTAATAATGGTTATAATTTTTTTAACAAATTATTTTATCGCGTGTCGCGTGCCATTATAAGCCAATCTGGTTAATTCAGGTTTATATTCATTATATTACTATTGTCTAGTCGTATCAAAAATCACTGCCAAATAAATCGCTTAGTATTACGTCACCCGAGTTGATTTAGCAATTTTCTAAAAACTAAATAAAACAACATATTTTGCATGTTTACATACAAAAAATGCACAAAAGCAGGCAGCTTGTCAACTGTTTAAGAGACTTTCGCGACACAAAAACTTACCACCGCCTTACTTTCTTACAATTACCACCAGAGTGACAAATGTTTTGCCAAACGGTTGTTTCTCACAGAAGATGGTGGGATAATAAGTGAAGGAAAAAAGCACAGACAGGAAAAAGGGATGAACTGAACTTCCACATAATTAAAACAATTATAGTATGAAAATACTTTATTGAAAAATATAATTATTTAACGTATAAATCATTAGCAAACTCATGCCCTCCGTAACTAGTGACTAGTAAATAGCGAAACACGTATTTTTGAGGACTACATGAGTATGCATAACACATAAGTAATTTATCATAATTTTATAAAATTCATATACAAATTATACCCCAAAAACCCCAAATTCAAAGACGGAGTAGTCTATTACGAGTACTAAATATGTACTCACTTACTTCTCAATTTGAACAGCAACGGCAAACCGCCACTTATATTTTGTACTAGATTAGATGTTGGATCAACCTTTGGATGGCGCACAGTTTCCGGCGCGGGTTCAACCGAGTAGCGCGACAGCACCGCCGCCAGTCCCGCCAGAGACTGCATCAGACCGAGTCTCTCGCCTGGAATAACATTTGATACAAATATGTTTTATTCTGGCTTTATACATTACGGGCCTTTCTTTAAATTTTAGATAGTTTCAAAAACAAAAAATACGTTTTTAATTGCGTAAATAACGCGTAATTAATTAATTATACTATGTTTTTTGGGTTATACTGT